CTCCGGTACCGGGAACCGAACTCACGACCTTGTGCTTGCCAGGCAGGCGCTTTGCCGCTGAGCTAAATCCCCAGCCCCATGAATGGCTTTTCATTTGCAAAACATATTACAAACCATCATCAAGTACATTAGGGGTATACCAAGAACAGGTCTGTCCAAATTAGCTAAATGATTTATATGTTATGTAAAACTCACTACTGTGTCTTGTTTTCCATTTTTAAATATTCCTTCAGATGGGGGGGGGCTAGCTAAATTTTTTATTGACTCATGTTCTCCTTTCTTTCACTTCTAATAAGTGATTGTAGCTGTTTTTACCCTCTCTAACTGTGCCTTCAAACAGCCATTGTTATTCTTATTTATGGCTTTTTCATATTTTTCCTACTGTCCTTTATTCTGGAGGTAATAGAGAATGAAAAGTATGAAGAGAAAGCTCTCACTGTTTTTCACTATGTCTTTTGTGATCCAAATTAAAATTAAAATTTTAACCCCTCCCCCAAACAAGCCAACACTGATTATTTTAAATTATGGACATTGTGGATGCTTTATACATTGAAATAAATTTCCTATTATTTTTACTGTCTCTTTAGTTTTGATTGAGAGGTTTTTTGGGGGGAGGGGTTTGGTGTATGCCTATCCCTCGCCCCCAAATGCCTATTGTAGGATGGGCACTGTCTTTAGATGCTTGTGATTCATCAGTGAATTACATAGAACAAGGTTGTTCTCCTCCTGGGTGCTGGTGATGCTAGGAGAAAAATCAGCAGGGAAGGAGGCTGGACAGTGTGCGCATGTGTGGAGCAACCTCAAACTCTGCAGTAATGAAGGGTGGCCTCTTTGCTAGGGTGACATTTTAGCGGTGGCTTGGAGGGGTGAGTGAGTGAGCCCCAAGACTGCCTGGCAGAAAGCACTCCAGGCAAGACAGTGGTAGGCACAAGAGACTCTAGGCAGAACGAAACGCAAGTTGAATGTCCTTCCAGAACATAGCGAATGGCCTGTTTTATTCATCATTTACTCCACAGTATTAGCTTGCTTGCAAATAAAGAGACGTGTATTCGTTAATCATTTTTTAAATGACAATCCAGTGATACAAAACTTAAATCCCTGGGACACTCTCGAATCCAGAGCATGCATGAGAACTTATGGAGGGGAGAAATGGCCTCTGAGAAGCCAAAATATGAAGAAGAGGTCTCAAAATCTGCTTTGGGGCTCTCATATAAAATGTGATCAAGCTGGTTACTTGGAGTCCAAGCTTTTAACGTACAGAAAGAAAGGTCTGAAGGGAACTTCCAGTAGGGGGTACGTTGGAGGCTCTGCCCACTTAGTCCATGCCTTGCATGAAAAGGGACAGCAGCCCTGCTAGCCAGGGTCAGCAGGATGCATGAAAGCCCAGAGGGACCCCTTCCAGAAGCCGCAGCCAGTGAGTGGGAGCAGAGACCCCACATCCTGGAGGGGCCTGAGGGTGGCAGCCAGGAGCACTTCCAGTCTTACAGTGGTATCTGCTATCTCCACGCCCTTCCCCAAAGCCTGATAGCAGCGGACTCCAGCAGAGGAGCTGGAAGGGAAGGATTTTAGAAAATCGTAATTCACACTCATTACAAAAATGTTTAGGTGTTGTTAATTGAAGAAGTAACTTTGGAAATGTCCAGAAAATGTGTCTAAGAAGCCTCATTCACAGAGAAGCCTTTGGCATAAATCAAAGTGATGTCCAAATGACGTGAAAGCTGACAACCTTCCACAAAGTGTTCTGTACGGATGGTCTGGTTATTTATCATTGCTACTAAAATTTCTCATCATTGTGCTGTTTTCTTACACATGAATGTGTTTTCTAATTGTGAGAAACAAGACGCAGGAAAAATCTAAAGTCAGTATAACAGGTAATAAATTAATTTACAATAGATTATAAAAGCCTTTTTTTAAAAATAGCACTAAGGATTGAACCCAGGGCCTTCCCACTGAGCTACACCCCCATTTTAAATTTTTTTATTTTCAAATAGGGTCTCACTTTAGTTGCCCAGGTTGGGCTCCAATTTGTGGTCCTCCTACTTCAGCCTCCCAGGGTATATATTTTTAGATTATAAAAATATTTTAATAAAAAAGCATTTGCCAGGTTTTTGTTTGTTAGGCGAATACTCCCCAGTCCTGTCATTTGTCATCTTTATAAAATCCGTCACCACAAATTATGTTTCTTTTTCCCCTGGCTGATTTTTTTCCCCTTTAATTTAGAAAATTTTAATGTCCTCACAACTTTCTAGGCCAAAGCCCATCACATACCGGAAGTTACACCAGTACTCTGAGTTACCGTGACACAGCGGCGATTACTCAATTCATGAAATAAGCCTCGACTCCAGAAGATGCCCAAGGCTGAAGAATTAGAAATTAATTCCAGGCATACAGAGATACGAGTATAGAAGATGTGTCACACTGTAATACAACTAAAATTAGCATTTGCCTGTGTAAATGCATTTTTAGCTAGACCAGCAATGATCAGATATGAAACAGCTGCCGAATGCACATGAGCATCTTCAAGGTTTTGCCTCCTGTCCTTGGTACGTGTGAGAGAAAAGCAGTCAGAAAACTCTATTCTCAACCAGCCCAGGGGCGAGGCCACACTTCATGTTAGGAGAGATGGCTGAGAAGCTGCTTCTCAAAAGGCTCCTGGAAACACTCGTCAGTGCTGAGCTTATGTTACGTTTTTTAAAGATGATCTGAGTGGAAAACGTTGTCTGTTAAAAATAACTGACCAGCTTTGCCGTCTCTTCTGTGGTGTCTGGATGCGGGCAGTAGGCTGGTTGCAAGGGCCCGCAACAGGGCTTATCTGCGCTCACTCCCGACTGATCAGACAACCTTCTTCAACTCCTGTCTTTAGGCTAGCCACACATATACCAAATCTGACTGTTCAAAAACATTTTCAATATTTTTTTTTTTTAGCTTGAAAAGTTTAAAAAAAACTGGGATGAGGAAAAGGAGAAAAGAAAGACAGAAGGAAGGGAAAAATCTATATGGACAGCTGGGATAATTATACTGCTGATGTCTAATGGTTTATTGAAAGGAACAGTTAATGCTTAAAGTCTTTTTCCTTGAGCAAGTTTGCATATTTATATGTGGTAATCCGAACAACTGATTTGAAGACAACAATATGTAATATAAGAACCATTGTTGAATTCCTACCATATTTCTTAGTGAAGCTCTGTATTGTTTCTAATTTTTTTATTACTTTTTATTATCTTATTCTTGTTTGATCAATCTTGCATTCTTACATCTAGTAATCTGAGCAACTTCGTTGAAGATAACAATATGTAGTATAACAACCATTGCTAATTCCTATCATTTTGTTTTGAAAACCCTGTATAGTTTTTATGTTGTTTTGTTTTTCTTTGTTGTTGCTATTTTTAAAATTCTCTTTAAAATAAAAAGTTCAAAACAAAACTTATATAGACTTCAAAGAATATCTAGAAAAACCTTATCAAACACAAACCAAGGGGAAAAACTGTGCATGTGGGGGTGGGGGAGCAGTTAGCTTATACTTGGTTTTTTTTTAAGCTGTAATTAAAATTTAATAAGAATAGAATTGTAAAGTAAAGTCAATTATAGTAGAGAAGTCAGGCATCAACATTTTGTTGACAAAAATAGAATTCTAGTCAGATGAGAAAAATCTGAAATAACTACACTGAAAGAGAAAGTCTGAAGGCAGACCCTTTTAGAATTATGTATTTACCATCATAACTGTCTATGATTTTATGTGACAATCAAAAATGTGAAATAACAGAAGCCAAGCAAATTTATATCAAAGCAAAACATTTTGTATGCTTTGGAGGGTTATTAAAATATTTTAGATAACATATTAGTGTAAATGGACTAGAGACAAAAAAGTTTTTTAGTACTGCTAAGATTTTTTGGCAGTAGCATGCCTATACTGGGAAAATCACTGAATATGCTATTTTCAAATTGCTACTTCTTGTGACTCAATATTCTTTGCTTTTACAGAGATAATGATGACCCTTAATTTAGGAAATTATTATGCTAAAGATAGTAGCTGATAAAAGAGCACAGTTTTGTTTTGAAACTCATGTGATTTTGCTATGTTTTTAATCAGACATTTTTAGATATTTAGTCATCCCATTAATGTCTTATAAAATATTTGTGTGGGAGTAGATAAAGGAAAAGAAAGATTAAAGTGAAGGTTTTGTTCCAAGTTCAAGAAAAGTAATTTTAGCCTCAATGTCACAAAATAATAAGTGAAAGTTAACTCACATACCAAATGAGATATAGGGAGGGCAAATAATTATTTTATGTATGAAATTTTCCTTTGAGAAATTTTTCTTATTCTATAAGGCAATGTTCTATAACCTTCTAAAAACAGAGACTTTGGGGTCCAATGGTCCTGTGTTGAATTTCAGCTATTTAATAAATGTGTGCATCTAGGAAAATTAGATAAGCTTGCACAATTGTGGTATCCTTATTTGTTCATAGCTTATTCTGAGAATTAATTTTTGAAATGGATATAAATCACACACTGCAGTCTTATAATGCAGAGGGCATTCCTATTCCCCAACCTTTCTTCAGGGTACAGTATTGGCCTTAATATGTTGCTTTTTATTGACTTTTTAAAATGTTTCTATAGTTCTCTAATGCATACATCCTTTCAAATGGACCTTTTAAATTCTTTCAAGATTTATCAGCTGTTTTTGTAGTGTTATCCATCATATTTGGAGCATTATCCAGTTTTCTTTGCACTAGAAGCTTCTGGAAGAATTAGCCTGTTACACAAATCAGATGGCCTGCATATTTTCCCAACAAACTCAGGAAGTCAAGATTTTGTAATCTCTGGAAAACAGGGCAATCCAATAACACTATTTTCATAAGGTATCCTGGAGAATAACCCAAGACAGACTATTTGAAAAAATATGTAACTATCTTAGAAGCCAAAACACTACAATTAAGACCTCTTGAACTGTGAACTGTTTCACAACCCACCAGGGTGGAGTCTGGGTTTTTAAACTTACTTTGCATTGACAGGATTGCAAGTGGTCAGGTTGGCCAGGGCCAGGCCAGCGGCTTCTCTGACTTCTTCGTTGTCACTTTTGAGCAAGTACACTAACTGTGGAATCCCTACAGATAAAGAAAAGTAGAAATGTGATGCCAAAGAACCTCTGCATGCTAGATCTGGGTAACTGTAAAAGGTTCCAAGTGTTTGTTTATGGATTGCTTACCCTGAGTATTGAAAAAATCTTTGCTGCCCATATTCTCACACATTGCCGAAATAGCTTGAGAAGCAGCGATTTTAGTTCCATCGCTTTCAGAACCCAAAAGGGATACAAGGCACTTTTCAACTTCTTGTTCATGAAAAAGTTTTCTGTTCTCAGCTTTTATAAACCAAAAGAAAAAAATCAGAATTTGGCTTCAGATACTTCAAATATTACTACTTATCTATCCAAAGCGTCATAGGACTACAAATCATTCGTTATCTTGGGTGCCGGAGACTAAACAAAATATAAACACATCTTAATCTTTAAAACACAGTGAAAATGCTCCATGAGTTGTGGATGCTGTATTTCCTTCTTCCCTCACAGGATATACATCAATACTATGGAAGATTCTATAATAAGGAAAAGGCAAGCTTTCAGACTTAGTAAGCACTTATTTAACACCAATCACATGCTGACATGGTACTCAGCGTTCTCACACGCAATCTCCTCACCGAGAACAAAACCTGTTTATTTGGTCATTTTAAATGTAAAACACAATATTTGAAGAACGCCTGCAGCATAGGAACTGGTGAGCCAAAGGTCTCAAGCTTCAAGAGAAGAGCAGAGTGAAAGAGAAAGTAGAAACAAATAGTAAGTATAATTCTGATAATTTATATTATAGCCTCTACACGTGGAATGAATTCATTGCATATATAAATATATATATACTTTTTAAATTAATTTGTTTGATCTAGAAATATTTGCAGAATAATAGTGATGAGGTTTCCATTTTATCTTATTTATTTATTTATTTATTTATTTTGGTTTTGGTTTCTTTTTCCCATACCAGGAATTGAACTCACGACCTCGCGCTTGCCAGGCAAGCGCTGTGCCGTTGAGCTAAATCCCCAGCTCCAGGTTTCCATTTTAAAGCTAAGATATGATTTCTCTCTTCCTTTAACAATGATTATAGAAAAATCGCCCTCTTCCACAGAAGCAATATCACTCTTCGGCAGCACCACATTTACAAGTACTCAGGGCTTTTGGTTGTTTGATGCACAGATGTACACCAAGAAATCTGGCTCGAGTGGCACAGACCAAGTTTCTAACGCTGCTGCTGCTCTTTCCTCTTAAGCCAATCACGAACCATGTCCTGTAACCTTATCTCTTTAATCCCAGGCCCCTTTCACTTAACATGAGCATTCAGGCAGGTCAGAACTGTGCTTCCATAAAAAACTGTAGTAAATACTTAAATCTCAGGAGATGGCTTCTAACATGTTTTAAAGTACATGTATTTTTTTTTAGTTTCCACTGAAAAAAATACTAAACTTTTCCAGAGTTTCTGATCTAAAACGCTTGGATGTATTATGAAGACTTCCCTGATGGCTCTAAATAAAATTTCTTAAACAGAACACTCCGCACAGACTCTATCAGGAAAACTGGCCAAAAAACAGTAGTACCAAAAAAAAAAAAAAAAAAAGCTCTAAATAAAATTTCTTAAACAGAACACTCCTCACAGATTCTATTAGGAAAATTGGCCAAAATACAGTAATACCAAAAAAAAAAAACACAGTAGTAAAATTATGATAAAAAATATACAGTGAATGTTTAAAAACTTTCTTACATAAAAGAAAGATTGCTGTTTGTCTTCCTAAAAATAATGCCCCCTCACATTTCAAACACACTTATTCCCATTGTTCTTGCCAGTCTCCAAAGCTGTTCTGAAAGTCCCTTTTTCCTTGTGAAGCATGGTCAAAAATACAAGAAGCAGCGCTGATGAGCACTGTATGATAGAAAGGGAGGCCAGTGAAAGCTACTGTTGCACTCCTCCACCTAACTCACTGGGCATGGCACCATGGGACTTGTGGCTTTTCCCCAAAATAACCATAAAAGGAAAACATTTGAATCAATTCAGGACATGAAGGCAGTTACGGCAGCCCAACTAGAGACACTTACCCAAAAGGACTTCTGTCACTGCTTCAGGAAGTGGCAGGAGTGATGGGCTAAGTGTATTCCAGGTGAGGAGGAGAATTTTGAGGGGGATTAATTGCAATGTGTCTTGTTCTGTAATGAATTTTTAAAATTTAAATGCTTATCATGTTTTTATCACAACTTATAATTAATTTGAAAAGGCTGACTTTGGAATGTGTAATTGTTCCAGTCACAAAAAGCAGTATGTATGGGATTATTGGAAAGATTTTTTTAACATGACTGAAGTAAGTATTGTGGGCAATTAAATTCTCAACCCTGCCGGGAGCGTTCTCAAAATCCAGCTGTGTTCACCAAATCTCAAAAGTGTGGACCACAGCATGGCTATAATAGACTTAAAGGATGAATTAACATGTTTGCCAAGTACTTTCAATTCCTGCTCCAAGAAGTAAAGTATTTGTGTTTTAATTACACAGATAATAAAGATGGCAAGATAGTTATGCTACTAATAGAGCAAGGTGCTTTAAAAGTAATATTTATTCAGTATCACTCAAATAAAAATCATGAAGTTCTGCTGCTAAAAATAAGTCTGCAGGTAATGATGTTTTTCTTTACCCATTCTCAGAAGTGGCCATTATGCCACCTTTCTCCTGCTGAGATGTTAATGCCATTTCATAAACCTCATGCCAACATGGTAATTAACACCCTCCCCCTACTGGTACCAGGTCAAAGGCGTGCTGACTGGAGATTTTCACCACAGGGAATGCATGTTATAACTTCATCCTACAAGCAAAACTTCTTAAAGAATGTGTGGTGTGTTTCAACTGTGTTTCTGTCATACAATGACAATGGATCGTATAAAAAATTCTTATGAGAGGAGATTAACAAACCATTGTAAGTGACAGTTACATTGTTTTTACCAATAGCATAAGGAGCAATGTTTCCGTTAACCTAATATATAACTGGAAACATGTTAAAATGTCTCCATGATTATTTACTTTCAATACAGAACCATTAGGAGATAATTTCATTAAATTTTAGAATTGACTATGATAACTAATGTAAAAAAAGATATGTCTAGCTAAGCTGTCTGAATCTGGAAGATAGGGGCCCAGGCAGGCCAATTACTGATACAAAAAGTAGACAAGAGGTACCAGTTGCGCCTGAAATGGAGGTGGAGTCTACAGTCATGCAAGTAGAAGAGGTGGCTATTGTAGATCAGGCCAGATAAACAGAAATAAACAGCAGTAAATAAATGAACAAACAAGAGAATAATGAGACAGATGAAAATGATGTTCACTTATGCTCTAGTGCTGGCTCCAGGGATGCTAGTACTGACATAGTACTGTGTTGAGTTCTGATCAGAAATGAAGAGTTTCACCCATAATTGTTAGAGCTAAGGTGAAAAGCTTGAAACAGAGAGATTTTCTCAAAGACCTGTGCTTCCTATTGGAAAAAGGTATTCTTAAGGATTTATGGGAATATGTGGACAGAGAAAGCTTGATTCTTTATGGAATCATACATTTTTCTAGAGATCTCAAGAATCAAGCTTTCAGGTCTGGTATCTCTTAAGTATGAGAAAAACTAAATCATACAAGTACCCACTGGATTGGAAAACCCATTTGATATACTTTTCCAATGATTCTACAGGCTCCAAAGATAGAATAACTTTGGGAAGGAAAAAGATAAGGCTAAAAAGAATGGAAGGAGGACACTGATTAAATAATTTGAATTATAAGAATGTAAGCTTTGTGGCTGGGGATGTAGCCCAGTGGTACAGTGCTTGCCTAGCATGTATAATATCATGAGTTCGATCCCCAACATTGACTCCCCAAGCTTTTACAATAGCAGATAAAACCTGCAGGACAATGGTGAAGAAACTGTTCTGCAACACAGACGGGAAACTTGGTTGCATGATAGTAAGGGTAGATCTCTCCAGAAACAGAGAGGGGTAGATCTTCTCCAGGGAAACAGAAGTTCTGCTGAGCAACAGTACTTCACCTTGGTGCTGTGCCGGTTTGGTACAGTATTTCATAGCAGCAGAATGAGAATACTTGAGTTCATGCATATTGCTTTACTTTATCACAGTAGGGATAGATGAAAGTCTTGTGTGAAGAAATTGTTAACATATTTAAAGCAGAGTAGGCTATACTAGGATAAGTCATGAAAAAGCATATTTTTAAAAATTTCTTAGGGCCAGAAAGAGAAACTAGTTATTTATTTTATTGACACCTTGAAAAGAAACAGAATTAGTAAATTTGATTTTCCTTCTAAACGTAGCCATTTGAAGAGCATGGATACCAAGAGGTCAAAATAGTATTTCCAAGTTTGCAACTAATTCTCAAAAATATCCTAGAAAGTGACAATGAAGCTGACAATGACAAGAGCTCTAACAGAATAAATGCAGAAGGTAAGGTAAGCAGTTAAATGGCAGAAAAGACAAGGAATCAGCAACAGGAAAATATGGCAATGGCAGGAATAAGTCAATACCTATCAATAATAATTCTCAATATGAATGGTCTCAATTCTGCAATCAAAAGACACAAACTGGCAGAATGCATTGAAAAACAAAATCCAGTGCTACGCTGTATACAAGAAACACATTTAACCCACAAAGAAAATCATACACTAAAAATCAAGGATGGGGAACAATATCCAAGTGATGGAAACTTGAAAGAAAACATCAGGTGTAGCCATCTTATATTCAGACAAGTGGACTTCAAGCCAAACTGATTAAATGAGGTACAGAAGGTCACTACATGTTGGTTAAGGGAACAATCTAACAGGAAGAGATAATAATTATTAATGTACACACACTCAACAATGGCACACCCAACTTCATACAACAAGTAATGCTGGACATAAAAGGTCAGATAAACATAAACACAATTATAGTGGAGACCTCAATACACCACTATCATAAATAGATCAACTAGACAAAAAAATTCAACAAAGAAATAACAGAGTTGAACCAAACCTTCAGACAAATGGGCTTAATAGATATCTACAGAGTGTTTTACTCAACTGAAACAGAATACATATTCTTCTAAACAGCACGCAGAACTTTCTCCAAAACAGATCACATGCCAGACAAGAATGCAATCCTAAGTAAATGCAAAAGAATAGAAATTACTTACTTATTATTAGATCATAGCACAGTGAAACTAGAAATCAATGGTAAAATAAAACAGATTTAATGTAGACGCACAGAAATGAAACAATATAATAAACAATATACTCAAATAATG